AACACAAGTTTTGTTCAAACCGTCGCTTCCTTTCCTCAGCTGTGAGGGGTTTGAAACGTACCGCATCAATTTGCATGGATTCCGGATCTGTGGAGTGATTCTCTGGACCTTTTGAAAATGTAGCAAATGCTCCATCATTTCTCCAGCCTGATCGTCTTTCTTGTCGTAATTCAAAGAGGCGGTTGTCACAAATAATTGCCTGAGATATAAGTTCTTCTAAAGTATCCGCCTTAGGCATGGTGATCAATAAGTTCTTGACATCATCTCTCAGTCCATATCGAAATCGTGTCATGAACGCCTTATCATTCCAATCAAGGTCACATGTAAGCTATTGAAATTCTGCAGCATAGATTGCAGCAGAACGTGATCCTTGTCGCAGATTTTGTATCTTTCTTTCAACCACTCTTTCTCGATCGCTATCTCCAAACGCAACAGTAAGTCTCTCTATGAAAGCCTCTAGGTCGTACAATATTGGAGAATCCTTCTCCAATAGTGGAGCAAGCCAAGAGCGAGCATTTCCTGATAGAAGAGTACCTATGAAAGCAACTTGGGTAAATCCATTCGGATAACGAGAAAGGTATAGGCGTAGGTAAAGCCGTACTTGTTGCACAAAACCTCGGAAGTTGGCTCTTGTTCCGTCAAACTTGTCTGACATACTCGCTTTTGGTTCTTTCATACTAATCCTTGAAGTATCTATAGGGGTCGTATGTGATACATGTCTTGCTTCTCTCAGTCGAATAATCTCTTGTTGTAGGCTATGAATTTCGTGTCTAGCTTCTTCGGTCACTAGATCAATTTGAGGTTCTTTACTTGGATTGCAAAGAAATGCAATCTCCTTTCGTACACTATTCATAAGAGCTTGAAGATCTGCAAGAGTTGCCACTCTATTGTCTACTTGTGGAGATGCACTGTCTATGACCTGGTCTACTTCCATATTTAGAGAATAGATGGATTAAAATTTTGAGAGAAGAAGAAATTGCTAAGTCTCTTGGAAAAAATTGTAGCACTACCTGTCACTAAAACCTACTCGGAGAAGAGAAAAGAAAAAAAAACACTAAACAATTTCAGTTTTAGAGGAGGGTAATCCGCAACCTCTAAAAATGCCTCAATGCTTTCGAGAAGAGGGGTAATCCGCACTCTATCAAAAAGGCAAAGCTCTGAAATCGATGTTAACAGTTTTTTCTACTAGCTATGCTAAACAAAAAGAAGGAATTAATATCAGTCCAAGAGAGGGTAATCCGCAACCCTTAGAACGCTCAAGTATCTCCAAGGAAAGGGGTAGTCCACTCTCTGCCTCAAAGAACTAAGCTCTGATATTGTGATTGAGAAAATATCAGTTTAGAGGAAGGTAATCCGCAACCCCTAAAGCGCTAGAACACCTTCAAGAAGAGGGGTAATCCGCTCTCAAACAAGAAGGATTCAGCTCTGATATTAAGATAAAGGTAGTCTCAACAAACTGTCACGGACACAAAATACAGACTTGAAATCTAACAAGAAGTTCAAGAAGAAGTGGCAGAACTAGATTAAACAGATGAGTACAAGATCAACACTAGAAAGGTGAGCTAGAACTCCAAGAGATGTGTTGTCGAGACTGAAGAACTCTTCAGCCTCGACTCCTATATATACTACTGGCCTATGGTTCTAAGGAAGCGCATCAAGAAGCTTCCCAAGAACTATGAAGCTTCTCGAGCAACTACCCAAGAGCTAGGAAGCTTCTCAAGTAACTTCCTAGAATCTACTAGAATATTCTAAGAATCTTCTAGAGCCTTCTAAAAGAATCTTTAGAGAATCTTCAAAGAATCTTTAGGAAATCTTTAAAGAATATTCTAAAAATATATTCAAGGAATATTCTGGAAGTTTCTAGAGACTTCTTTCTAGAAGGTTCTAGAAACTTGTCTCTAGAAAGGTCTAAGGACTATGTCCCTAACAATAAGACTCAAATCTCTAAAAAAGTAATCATGATCCAAAAATATCTTTTACAATTTGAAATAGAAACTACACCATAGTATTACTCTATGTGAGTACAATTAAAAGATCCAATGATTAGTTGTAATTACTTTTGTGATTTTTTATATATTTTTATTAATTTTAATGCTAAGATGATTAATTAATAGATCCAAATTAGTTTTTTAATTAATTATGAATTTTATCATATTTTTAGGTATTAATTAAATAGATACTTTTAAGTAATAGATAGATTGATTATTAAAATTCTAATGATAGTAAATTTAGAAGGTCTATTACTTCTTTCTTGATTTGATTTAAATTCTCTTTTAGTGCCAAAACTAAAATTTTAATAGAATTTTTCTTCTAATTCTTAGAAATTATATCTTGAATTAATCCACAATCTTAATTTTCAACTCCAAGGCTAATCTCTAATTTGACTATGGTTAGAAACTCCTCAAATCTAATTGCTCTATCTTCCTAATTAATTTCAAGATTTTGAGGCTTAAATTCTGTTTTACAATTTAAATGGATTAAAATTTATAAAATCTAATTGTTAAATTAATGATGATCTTTAGAAGATGGAGACAAGCTATTTTTTATGGTGGAGTTTCCTTTCATAGTGATTTTTATCACTATTTGGAGTTGAAGAATGGAGAAATAATAAATAAATCAAAAATCAAAAGCGTATTAACTCAAGGCCAAATTGAAATTAGGGGTTGTGATTTGCCAAGAGTTTATACTTAAGGGAGTTCAAATTTAAGAATGGTGATCATGAAGGATTTGATGGCAAGAATCCTTGCTGATCTCCTAATTAGGATACTTAGAATTAGAATTAGAGTTGAAATTTACAACTAGATTAGCAAATTAATTGGTTTTAATGATTTAGAAATCGGATTTGAACTTGTGAATAGTCAATCTCAAGGTAATAATGTGTTTTAAACACATTGATGGTGTTGGTTTTACCAAAAAAGAATTATTTTTTGAGTTATGGCATTTCTAGCCTTGAGATCGGTTTTAGACTTAGAGTGATTGTAAACCATTGATTTTGGTTCGGTTTTTTTTTGTTTGGATGGTGGAGATGTGGCCACCCTCCTACAAGCCTCCACTCACTTGTATAAGAGTGGCTTGGTTTTCCAAGACCTCTCTCTCTCCTTTTTTATGGTGAAGCTATATCAAATTTTTCTTTTTTTAATAAAAACTCCTTCCATTTTGTAATTGCTAAGATTTCTGACTCTCTGTTTCTTTAGTTGTATTGCTTCCTTGCAATATTTTTTGACCGCCTTCTTCTAGTTACTAGCTTTTCAAGGACACCAAGCATGCATAACTTGGAGCTTTAATGAATTATTGGCAGAATTTCAAGTGAAGAAGGGTGCACTACTGTGGCCTCGAAGAATAGCGAACTTCAAAAAATCATTGCTCAACGATCTCTATCTTACTTTCCAAGTGGTTTTCAATTTTATTTTTTTTAAAATTCTAGTTTTTTAAAAAAGTAATTAGAATTTTTGAATTTTTTATGAATTTTCAATGAATTCTTAAGTAAGAAGGGGTCTGTTGCTGACTGGTACAAGGGCAGTATATTAGGATTAGCTTTGGAATTTCATAGTGCACTACTTGTTGAAGATTGTTTTGTAAAAATTATTTCAAAAAAGGCGCCTTGAAGTTTAGTTCCAATAAAAGTTTAATTTGGAAATTTTGAAGCTTTTATAAATCTTCAGTGAATTTTTAAGTACGAGGTCTGCTGCCCTTGCAGTTCGGGAGGCCAACTTTAAGAAATCACATCTCAACTATCCCATACTGGAATATTTTAAAAATTGAGGGATAGGAGCTCATCCAAGTGAAGGTTCAGTATAAAAAAATTCACATGTGTAGGAGCTAAAGAGGATTTTTGACGGATTTCCAATTGATCAGGATTTGCTACCTTAATTCGGCATGATGAAGGTAACCTTTCTTTCCTAATCACCTCCTAATTACACTTTTTAGTGCATGGATTGTTGGATTGACTCTTTGCTCATCTTATAACCTTTAATTAAAACTACTTTAGTAAATCTTTTATCTCATCTTGGTAATTAATTATTAATTTTTAACTTCCAATTACCTTCCAACCTTCAATTTTTAACCTCATGTTATTTCAATCTTTACTTAAATTTTAATTTTAAATTTACCTTTTTATCTTAAACTTTAAACCTTTATTTTATTCTATTTTTAATTAATTTTTAACTTTGATTATACTTTTTACCTTCAACTTTTAACCTTTAGGTTATTTCATTCTAACTTAATTTTTAATCTTAATTATAACTTTTACTTTTTACTACCAACAAAGCTATATTTAAATCCTATTGGATGTATTTAGATTGATTCTACAAAAATCTTCTTTAGTATTAATGCATCCAAAATCCAAATTGCAAAGAAAATTGAAATACCTGCAATTAGCCACAAGCTATATCAAAGCCTTGTAGAGAGGTTATTCTATGCAACCATCAATTGTTGAAACATCCAATTTGTAATAGGCAGGATATTAAGGTATATGAATAATTCTTAAATCACTTATTTAATTGTAACAAAGAAAATATTATAATACTTCAAAGATATTATAAACCATAAAATAATCTATTCTTCTAACAATAAAAAGAATACTTCTTATCTTTGCCAATATAGATTGAGCAAGAGATATTGACTCTTACAAATCAATATCAAGCACATTCTATAAATTAGAATTAGTACCTATAGCATAGTCAAACAAGCATCAATTGTCAATTACACTTTTATTGATAAAATTTAAGTACTACATTCTTTCAATAGCCATCTAGAATATTACTTATTTCTATAGAATACTCAAAGAAATTTACTTAGATGACAAGAATCCAACGCTATTAATGTATAACAATATAAATAACATCAAATTAGTTTTAAATCTAACCATGCACCAAAGAATAAAATATATAGAACTAAATCATCATTACATTATATTAGAGACAAGCATCAAGTTGGAATAATTGAGATAAGATATACTTCTATATATTTACAATAAGTTGATATTTTTACAAAGGCTTTAAGACTAATTGAATTTAGTGAAAACAAAGAATTTATTGGATTAAAAAAAATAATAGCATAGATATATATATATATAAAAAAAAACTCAATCTTAGTTACTAAAATTTAATTTCTTAGTTAAAGGTACTTCTCTACATTTTTTTGGATTCTAAAAATTTTAATTTTTGCTCCCAATATCCTTAAACTTGCTTCTTACATTTTAACTATTAGCAACACATCCGCAAACAAAAAGCTCACCATGACCCTTTTGTTCGATACGTAGAGATTGTCAAATGCCAAAAGCCTGCAGCACAATCCCAGTGTCATAAAATAAAGTTGAGTAATGAATCCTTTTAAAAAAATAACACAGAAAGAAAATGTACCCCAATGTGCGATGGGACAGCGGATTATCGTATCCGAAAAACTTGCAAGTATCGACTACAGTTAAGATAACCAATATCACCGTGATTAGCTATTAAAGTACTTCACAGTAAAAGCTGCGATAAATCTGCAAATAACAGATTAGTTACAACAAAGCTCCGAAAGCTCAAGAGAATTTTACCAAGCAGTTTCCGAACCAATCCCGTCAAATCATGCATGTATCGTCAAAGTATCATCCAGTGATTTGAAGAAGTTGGTCAGGAATATCAAGTTGATCTATCGTAAGCCAATTATGAACCGTCCGCTTCTCTGAACCTCGCCCTGCATGCCAGAATAGTTGAAAAAATCACATCTAATCAATCAGAAAGTGACTTTCGGTGCTCATTGGGATTGACTTCTCGAGGACTTTGTGCGATCCTAACGTTAAGAAGGCAAAAGCGTAAAGCAAAATTACTCCATGTAAAGCGCCGTTCAGAATAAGAGTGTCTGCATCATTTAGCATATTCTTCGGGGTAACATTTTAAGCTCCAACACTTCAAAGTCTATCAGTCTTCGAGAGGAAGCGACAAGTCCGCACCTGCACTATAACATTGGAACTGAGCAGGATTACCCATAAACACCAAGCGCTATATGAACACCAAAACATACACGCTTAACTCATTGTAGTCACTGCCCAGTCCCTTTGCAGTCACAGCTCGACCGAGACTACAAATTCATCAAAAACTGCTGCAGACAAGTACTTTGAACATTTAAAGGTGTGGACTACAAAATATTTCAAGTCTGTGTCTTGGATGATGCGTGTGCTTGTGCTGGTGATGCATCACCGTTTTGCATGAACTCTGAGCTACACATCTACGAACTGAACTGGCTGAGCTCTTCATCAGCACATAGAGAACGAGACCTGCACACTACGGCGACACAGTTAACAAATCAGCACTTTCTGGCTTCGCTGGAGAGTGTCTGAAGTTCGATCATAAGCTAAGGAATCCAGCAAGCATAACATCAATGATATGTAAATGTGTGGGCCTAGCGAGAGAGAGAGAGAGAGAGAGAGAGAGAGAGAAACAAATTGATAATTTATGGTACTAACCAAGCGTCTAGGAAATGATTGAATCACTGTTCAGCTCATGGTTGCATCAGCAAATTCACAGGCAAGAAAATTTGATCATCATACAGTAAAATGTATGCAGAGAATGGCTGCCAAACTTGTATCAATGGGCCTAATATGTATCACATATGTTATAAATTAGGATAAGAAAAAACTTCAAAGAAATAAAATCGTAAATAAGGTTTCTCATTACCCACAAGGTTTCCTGAAAATCATGAAGATTTCTCCTGGTGTTCATTTGTAGATCCTTTCCTGGGAGTAGAGTTTCTATGCAAAGCAAACCAAAAAAAAGGTTGTTTTAAGTAGAATTTTACATTTAAAAATCTCAAAAAATCTCAAAAACAAGGATGAAGAAATATTCCATAAACTTTGAGCATTCTTAGCCTAACTTGTATGTCTTTTAAGCTTCTTTTGTATCCTTTATTTGTTATTTTCCCATGTCTTAATCTATTCCTTGAAAAGTACTAAAGTTTCAATAGTACTATTTTTAAAACATTGATTTTTATTTATCTACACATTGAATCCTTATGTTCTCTATATTCCTTTATATCTATCAATAATTCCCTTATTTTAATTCTTTTTTAAAACCTACCTAAATATTTTTTGAATTAATTTTAAAAGAATCATGTATTAAAATATCTAAACTGATATATATATATTTATATATATATATATATATATATTGAATTTTTAATGAATTCTAATTATATTTTTTAATTATTTTAAGAAACTTCTTATATATTTGATTTATAATTTTAATAGATAAATTTATAAGATTAAATGTAATACAAATTAATTTGAATTTTTTCTTTCTTATTAGTCTTTTTGATAACTCTTTCTTTCTTTCTTTCTTTCTTTCTTTCTCTCTCTCTCTCTCTCTCTCTCTCTCTCTCTCTCTATATATATATATATATATATATATATATTTTTAACTCATTTTAAATATCAAAAAATAATATTTCAATACTATTAAAATATTATATTATAATTTATAAATAAAAATTTAAATTAATCTATGAAAAAAAATATTCTATTTTATTTTATTAATACATAATTCTAATAAAATATTTAAAGTAAAAATATTTATTTATTTAATAGTTAATAAAAAATAATATATAATGTATTAAAATTATTTTTAAATAAAAAATTATTTTGTGATTTATTAAAATTATTTTTTTAATTTTATTTTACGTTATTTAAAATTATTTTATGTTATTATTAATAAAAAAATATTAAATTTATCTAATAATTTACTAAAATAATCCATCGATCATTATTAGTTGAAGGACCAACTATTTTTAACTTTTTTTTACCAATGTAGATCTGGAAGTCAAAAATATTTTGATGCTAGTTAAGATAAGTGGATCAATTTAGTAAATATGTGGATCAATTTAACAATTTCTAAATAATAAAGAAAGAAGAATATTAAATAGATCCATTATTTTTATTAAATAGACTCATCTTCAATAAAGAATATAGTAATTATGATGAATGTAGTTGGTTTTTATTAATTGCTCATCCAATAGTGGAAAAATGAATCTAGAGGTCACTATTTTTTTTCATAATAGTTAAGATGGGTGGATCAATTTAATCAAAACTTGGATCTATCTAACATTCTCCTAAAGAAATATCTTGATATCATTTATTGTATTTAAATCTTAAGAATGAAAATATTAAAAATATATTATTACATAAAAATTATTCTAATAATAAAATAATGGAGGTAATTACTATTAAAAAAATTATGTTATTTTTATAATTATAGATATCTCAATGTATTAAAGCTAGCACTATAGAATATTTTTAAATAATTAATATTATCTAAGTAATATCTAATATTTAAAATAATAATTAATATATGCTTTGTAGTTTTTTGAATTTTATCAATACTAGAATTAAAAGATGTCTTATTAAAGATGATTTTTTGAAATATTCAGTAAAATCAATATTATATAGGATATTAAAATTATTATACACATAAATCTTTAAAACAATTGATTTTGATAAATTTATTGGAATTTTTATTTATATATATTTTTTAATTATTTAGTACATATTTTTATTAACTGATGGTAATTAAAATATCTCTTATTTTATTTACTAATATATAAAATACATATATAAATATTATTTTTTAATTAAACCAAATATTTATTCAATGTAATGAGAAGGATAATAATTAATTTAGATTTATCTACAAGTAGTGTTATCTAATATAAGTTTTTTAGAATAAAAATTTAGAATTTCTATTAATAATCCATGAATGTGTTTATATATATATATATATATATATATATATATATATAACTAAAAATTAATCTTTATGTCATGTACCTTAATAAAATAATAATTTTAGTTGTAGTTATTATCATTGAATGAAAAATCTTTGAATTGGGAAAATCCACTAATGTTTTTAAAGTTTCTGTGTGAATTTATTCAAAAACGTCTTATTTCAAACTACAGCTGTAATGTTGGCTTTTAGTTTTGCAATTATTACCAATAATAAGTTTGAAAACTCACAATTTAAACCATAAATTCTTTTGCCAATATTAAAATTTTGACATGAATAAAAGTACACACCATTTGATATGGATTTTCATTTGAGTTAATTTTTTATTTTTGTAATTTCCATAATTTTTATAATTTTTGAAACTTTTATTGAAAAGTTTTGATATTTCCATCAGCAACGATCGGATTGTACAAAGTTCACTCCTGCATGTTAAACAAACATATTCCATATGTTAGAATTCTACGCACCAAAATTTTCATTTACCAGTTATTATGTCAAAGATTAGTCATAGACTTGAATTTATATAATATATTTATTCAATACAATCAACATAATGTACGTTCATTCTTTCTGAAGCTGGCTAATACTTTTACTGACGAGAAGCTCAATAGAAGATTGAGGATTAAACAATTCACAACCACTCGCTAATTCATACCTTGCTGACTGTGCAAAACACCAGTTTTGTACATGAAAGCGTTCCTTCAAAAAAACAAACAAAACAACGTGACCAGATTCTCAGAACAATTGTTGTTTCTGCAAGGAATTGTTGATGTGGATTACATAAAATGATCTCGTCTGCAGGTTTCCAGCGGCTGCTTTCTACTTCTGCATCATTTGAATGCGAAGATTTTAGCATTCCACAAGTCATGCAGACAGAGACAGTCATGCCTGTAAACCTCACAATAGTGGAAGAAGGACTTGGATTTCACCACGTGGTTTTGATTAGTGCTTGCATGATTCAGCAACTTGAGTGCTGTAAATCGATTTCAATCATGCAGAGATCAGTCGCTAAGTGCAGCAGCTCCCAGTGAAGCCACTCTGCACATCGTTTCATCGATCACTGTTTGTGCACTCTAAAGCATTTGTAAAATTGCGAAGTTCTCATATTGAGGGGGTTTGGGTTCAACCTTGGTGATATTTCAAGTGACCTGTGTGACATTCCCTCTCCGCTGATTCGATCTGGGGAACGTTTGCCTTCCAAACTTACCAGAAAAATAAATTAATTTAGTTTAAAGATATAACAAAACAATATTGATATGAACTGTACAAGTTATGTTTCTTTTTAAATATCCATGAACCTCCACTGTACCTCGAGAGACTTCAACTGGCATCAAGTACTAAACTAGTACTCAACTTTGGTATCTTAACCGGAGTTCTCAACGTGGTTTGGACATCGAAGTTTTCGTCTATGAGTACGAATTACACGTGGTAACGGAGGAACTTGGTTTTTTCACTTCAGTTATGGCAGCTTTGGTTGGTGGAATGATAGCAGTGGGATGATAGCAGTCCTGTCAATGTTACTCTATGATTGTGGAGGTCTCGTCTGCGGGTGGCCGGGGTCCCCACTAATCGTTTTTAACAGCCAGGGAATGCGACAAAAAGACAAAGCGGAAGTTGCGTGATTCAGACGATGTAGCCCCCAATGATTTGTGACAAAGGCGTCACTGCTGGACTCTTCTCTGCCTGATGAGATCAATGACCACCAGAGAGGAGACTTAGTTTCTTTACACTCTACACAACTGACTCGGATCTGTATGATTTGAGGTACGTGTGTGATGTGCCATGCGTTTCCTCTAAGTCGAAACATTCATTGCTGGGAGACGAAACACTCTGATGATCCATCCACCGTGCGAAAAGAGTAGTCCATCTCTGTCTGAAATGTCGCAAAGAGTGAGGTTTGATTTCTCAATAGCATCTCCTGCAGAACACATCCATTTAGAAACATCTACCTTTCATATCTGAACTGCTGACTGCAAGTAGAGTTGGCCCATCGAAATGGTCAGTTTTTGAGTTTAGCGATTGCGTTGCCAAATTGCAGCAGTTGCGCTGCCGCAGTGAGGTGCTAGATTCGCTGCTGTTGGAGTGGAACCGGAGCACAGGTGATGATCTGCAAACTCGGGTGGCATGGCTACAGCAGTGGTTGGACACGGATAGAGAAGGACCATGAGGAAATAGAATGGAGTCGGACCAGCCAGTTCATCGCATTGGAAATGCAGAGCTGAGGAAGGGCAGGGTGATCCGGATTTCTTACAAGAGGGCAACATACGTAGTGTGCACCGTCAACCTGATGCTGGCGGTGTGTTTGATGTACTCAATCCTGTCGCCTTTGCACCTCAAGTCTCACACTCCTCACGTCATAGCGGTCGACACCTCCAGTGCGTCCCCTGCGCACCATGCCCCCCCTCCCCGCCCTCCATCACCAATCTAACTCCTCTCTCTCTCTTCAACTCACGATCTCACGACCGTTTTATCTAACCAGAAGCAGAACATGGGTTTATTACAGATGGACGTCGCCCATCGTCTCAGCGAACCACGAGGGAAGAATTAGTGCGTTTACGTTCCTCCGACAAACTGCGCCGCGATATGGTGCCCATTCATCTCATTCAAGAGGTGAGAGCATATGTGGTTGTTTGCATATGTTTCAGGAGAGTAAACGATGAATCCACAGTTGATTTATCTTTACAGTTTACTCATGGACAGTATGTCTTAGTGAAAAATGAATGTTTTTGTGACGAGCCATAAATGTTGCAGGTGAAGGTCCTCCAAGCGGAAACCATGGAAGAAATCACGAGAACGAAGAAACTGAGCTCAATCAGGCAAAAGAAGTCCATCGAGGTCTTGCAACGTCTGGCCCAGGTGAGGCGCGGCAACACCCAAGCAAACCAGCAAGGTATCATTCATCCATGTATCCATCCAGCCTTCTTTTCATTCATCCAATTTTTCGGCTCTCATATATTCATCCATCCATCTCTTCATTCATCCATCTTTTCACCCACAAGGTTTCATCGTTGGGCACCCTTTCTTAGGCTTACAGAAATGGAGGAAGAAGAAGCTTCTAGACGCAAAGAGAATCGAAGCTGCCCAACGTGGACGTTAGATTTTTATATTGCTCTACCAAAACCCACCCACCATTGCTTTAGCTATCTGTCACATGGCTCATTTAGCTGTGAATAAATCTACCTCTTCATGGGGTTCTCATCCTCTCCACCATTTGGAATTGTCTCCACAAGGTTAGATAGGCTACTTCAGTGATTTGTGCATAAATGATGTTCATTTTCTTATTTTCTTATTTTTTTTATATAAGGACATGAATGAAGAATGGTAATAACTAACATTAGGGTATTTTGCTTTGGAAATAATGCATAGTAGTTTGTTATCAAGGTGTAATAAAGAATAAAACAATCTAGATAGATACAGGGATGAGTGGATGTTTAGGATCAACCCATGCTAAGATACACATTTTTACCAAATAATGCAAAGATAAATCTCATCTTCTACTTTTCTATGTATGAGAAGTGGTGAGGTTAGCAAAAAGAAGGTGAGGAATGAGGATGGTTAATAAAAGATTTGGATGATTGTTTAATGAATAAATGGCTAATTGGATGCATGAATAAATATATGGTCCTTTAAATGGATGAAAAAGATACTAATAAACTCTATTTTTTTAATATGTAAAATGTGTTTAGTAAATAAAAAAAAATCTGATCTATTTTTTATTTTTTATTTCTTAAAATTTTAAGAAATATTAATTTTAGTATAGAAGGGGTCACTAAAAAAATAAAATAGATTTATATTTATAATAATCAGCATAAAAATATTTCTAATATATAATGTAGATTATTTGCATGATTTATGTATATATACATATTATTCATAAATAATTATTTTTATTAATTAAAATTATATAATAGAAATATATTTAATATAATTTTAATATATAATCTAATATTATATATTAAAAAAAATTACGTAAATTATACTATTCTTTTATATTTTCTCTAATATATAATGTTAACTTATTTATATTATTTATTTAAATATGTACATATTATTAATAAATAATACTTGATGCTATTTAAATTTTTATTTTAAATTTATTATTTTTTATAATATTTTTAATTTTTAATTAAGTAATATCTTTCTATTCACATATTAATTTATTATTTGAAGTGCATATTATAATTTATGCACTATATTATATATAAATATAAACATATATATATATATATATATATGTTTATATATATATATTTTGTATAACTTTCATGTAGTAGCTTGTGTTTCATCCATTCTTTTTGAAAATATTGACTCTTTTTTATATTTTTTATTTAAAATTTAACCTATTTAAAATTTAACTTGCTAAATTTTACATCCATTATTTTTTCCAAAAATAATAAAAAAATTTCAATACATCTTATTTGACTATTATATAATAAAAATATATTATTTTTATTTATTTAAAATATTTTTATTTATTTATTTAATATATATATATATATTTATATTTATATTTGAAATTTACTTATATATTTTTAATATTTTAAAATTTAATGTAAAATTTTAAAAATTATTAAAAATTATATTATAATTTGATTTTTTGGCTATAATATAAATTTTAAAATTTTATAGTGGGGTTGATGTTAGACACCTCAAATTTTAGAATTTTATATTTCTTGATTCAATTATTTAGTTTTTTTAAAATTTCTAAATAATGTAGCATTTATCCTTAAGTTTTACCTAAAAAAGAATGAATTTTTGTCATATTATAAATATTTATAGTATGTAAAAATTAGTTAAAATATATTTTATGTTCATAAGTTTTGATGTGTCTTAGAATGGTTAAGAACTTAATTTAAAGAGAGTGGATATAAGAAACTTTATTTTGAATTTCATCTATTTTTATTATTATTTTTAAATTATATAAGATTTAGATGTTTAATATAGAGCTTTAAGAGAAGGTGGAAGCCTAAAGATGAAAATCTAAACTACTTAGAGGCTTATGGAGAGGGATGAAATCAAGGCATGGTCAGATGAAGGCAAAAGATAAAGATCTTTATTCCTATTGGTCAAAGGCCATATCCAATAGGCATTTAGCAGGATGTCTATGACCATAACAAGAGTTTCACTGACTTTAGAAAAGACATTTGAGAATCAAAAGTAAGGGTTTTAAAGTTTAGGGTTTAAGCTACAATTTGTGCATAAATTTTAGAAGCAAATTCTCTTCATTCCAACATTGTAAATCTACTATAGATTATTTGGCATCTTAGAAATCTTAGCAAAAGCTCTAAATCTTAATTTACAAGCACTTAAATGTTATTTTTTTCATATCTCAAAAATCCAACAATTAAATGCTATAAAATTTGATATATAGCTTTATAACATAGTGTCAAGGATATGAATCTCAAAGAAAGAAAATCTTCAATATATTCTTGTCTCACTAAAAGAAACTAGAAAGTTACTCAAAGATGATATAATATTAAACTAGAATGGCTATTGTCAAAAACATAAAAATTAGAAAGTCTTAAAACAAGATTAAAGACTAGAAAGGTATAGACAAGAGTGAAGAAGGCCTCGCTCTTACTCCTATATATACTCTTAACAAAGAGCTACATGGCAATGTCATATAAAACCTCTAAAACATGTTGGCTTTGCAAGACACATATCTTAACTTGTAAGGTAAGTTTTTCAATATTTATGCCATATAATTAGCTTGTTCTATAAGCTATCAACATGTGATTAACTTATTGATCTACTAATCAATTACAAATATATATGAAGTCAAAGCAATATCTATGAAGCTTCTAAGAAGCTTTTTTAGAAAATATTATAAAATTACTCTACTTTTATTTATTTTTATCTATCTCTACTTAATCATATAGATATTTACTAAAATACATATATATATCCATGGCATTACTTTTCTTTTTAGAGACGAGTTCCACAAGGAATAGTCATCATGTATTAATGAAATTCAAGATGCGGCAAATTATATTTACCACATATTCTAATCTTTGTTCTCTTTGAAGATAGTTGATAGGTCCTCTCAGCCATCAATAATGTTCATAAAAGGGCAAGAAGACCACCCTATTATTTGATTGTTATTGAGGCCTTCACAATTTCCTTCAAATAAAATATTTGGAACATTGTCAAGAGTTGTTTCTACCTCTAATAAAATCACCAAACATTGGGAGTCTCTTCTAAGGTTGTGATACCAAATATGTTATATTTCACCATCTATTTAAAAAAGTATATGTTATTTTTGAGGATCTTCATCTCAATTACATCACTTTGAAGGTTGTCACAATTGCAATGTCTCATCTAGTAAGTCAACAAATGAAAGCTCTTGAGTTGAATTTATTGGTTGTTGGTTCTTCATTTCCTTAATATTACAATTATAAAAAAAACTATAAAAAAAACTATAAAAAAAAATTATAAGTAATGTGTTATCTTTCTTTGATCTTATTTCTTTTATAACAAAGATTTACTTTTCTTCATCTTAATTTTGATGGATGTTGTTAATGAAAAGCTTCAATTCTCTTCCTTGCATTTGCAAGACTCTTTAGTGGCTTCTATATATGTTGACTAATATCATATTTCAGCTAATGAATAAAATATTTCAACCTATTTTGGTGCCACCTTGAATTTAAGACTTCTTTTACCTTAAACTCTTGATTATTATCTACTTTTATAGGAGGAGGTGGTATTTATCTTCTTCTCAAGATATTCACTATCTTATATGAGTCAAAAAGAGATATATAAAATATGGGATGGATCTTCATAGACTCTAGTAGATATAATGGATAAGCAACAAGATTGACTTATTCATTAATAAAAAAAATTCTAAGCCTATAACAGTCCAACTTATCACAAGAACGAGTAGTCTTGATATTGTGATAAAATAATCATACCTTATCACCTATGTTGAATTGTAGTTTTTCTTTACGATGAGCATCTATATTAATTTTTTGTCATTTTTGAGCTCTCTTAAACTTTGCCTTCATTGTTGCATATAGCTTTGATAAATGATTTTTCAAATCTTCTATTGTAGGATTATCAACTTTTAAAAAGTCAAAAGTATCAAGTCATGGGTAATAAAGATAATTAGTAAAAAAAGGTGATTATTGAGTAGAATAATGTATCAAATTATTGTACACAAACTTTACTAATATTAAAAGAATTGTCCAATCATCTTAATGATAGTTGATGGTACATCTCAAGTACTACTACAAAACTTAGTTCATCCATTTTGTTTACTCATTAATTAGAAGATGAAAAGTCTTAAAAAGCTTTATATCTATCTTTAAAATCTTAAAAAGGGTTCTCCAAAATCTTGATATAAAATAAATCCTCCTATTTGATATAATATTTTTAAGCAATCCATGATATCAATAGATGTTATTAAAAAAAAAAAAAAAAAAAAAAAAAACTATTTCTTCACTTGTAATAGATTTTGTATATGGTACAAAATATGCCATCTTAATAAAATAATCTTCTACCACAAATATAGAATCATACAAATCTGAAACTAGAAGTTTCATGATAAAATCCATAGAAACAAAAGACCATCATTGTATTAAAATAGATAATAGCTAAAGAAGTCCATAAGATTGATGGCGAGGAATTTTGGATCTTGAACAAATATTACATGATTATACCAAGTTTTTGATTACCTTCTACATTTGAGGCTTCTAAAAATCTCTTGATATTAGCTCTAAAGTGTTGTTGTATCCAAAATTTCTAAATGTTAGAAAGTCATGACGAGTTTGAAGAACACAAAATTATACTCCATTTTTTAAAATGTATAATCATTCCTTCAAATAGAGTAGATTATTCTTGAATTCAAACTTGGAAGTATCATAAAACCTAGAAAAATTATCCTTGATATCATAAATAAGAGGATCAAAAGCTTGATTGAATTTGCTTAACAAAGATTGAATCAATAATCAATGTTGATTTTGTCTCTTGAAGGTTAAAATTTTTTGGCTTCAAGAAAATCATTTTTTGTTAATCAAAAGATGAATCTCTTTCTTTTGGTGCAAAATAAGAATGTCTAAAAAGGCCGTCAAATAAACCTTGTTGTTTTTTAGAATCGATATATAATCTTGAAATCAAATCTTCATAAAGACATGCTTCAACAAGCTTGGCGATGATTCAAAACAAGTACTAATATGAAATACTTAAGATTCTTATGATTTGTGTATACTATGATTAGACTCGATGTGCCTTCTAAATAATGATGCCATTTTTAAAATAAATCCACAATTACAAAGAGCTCTTTATCGTAGATCTCATAATTAATCTCAACAGCTAAAACTTTTTTGGTATAAAAAGCTACTGAATGGAGTTTGTTATATATTTCTATTTATAATAATATTCTACCCAAGGCAAAGTTTGATACATCTATTTCTATAAAAAAAATGCCTTAAAAAAGTCAACGCAATATAAGATTAGTGTAGAAATAAACTCATTTTTTAAATCATCAAATGATCCTTCAACT